AAGTTGCTAATTTTGAAGCCGTCGATACTACGCCCACCGAGGCACCTAAAAAGAAAATTTGAATTTTTGACATGTCTAAAAAGGATGTCTCTACTTCTTATAATGATTTATGTTTAGACTCACCCTTGTGCAACCAAGTTTGTGTTGAAAAAGATATTATAGATACATGAACGCAATAGGTCGCAATAGAGAATGAACAACTCAAGCAAGAAGTGGCTCACCTTACCAAGGACTTGACTCAAGTAAAAGACAAAACGGAGCAAGTCCAAATTCATCAAGATAACATCATCAAGAAAGTGAAGAAGCTTGATGAAGGATAAACTGTGGTTTGCTATGTATGCCACAAGAAAGGCCACAAGTCCTATGAGTGGAAGGTGAAGAATAGGGGAGGAGCTAAGAAGAAACAGAAAAACAAAAAGGAAACAAGCAAGCTCTCCAACACCTACACCAACAAGACGGACAAAAAGGCCTCCACACCTTGTCTCTTGAAGAAGAAGAAAAATGACAAGGTGGTGGCCATCAAGGTGAATAAGCAAACCAACAATAGGGCCAAACACATTTGGGTGTCAAAGGAGATCATTTCCAACATGAAGAGCACTAAAAAGGTTTGAATCCCGAAGAGGAAGTGAGAAGTCCAATGGACTTTCGGAGAATTTGAAGACTTGGCATAATTTGGGTGCATTTCATGGGGTGCATCATAATGGTCAAGGTAATTGCCAAGTGGGTTAGTGAATATTATGGACCCAAATTCCCCTCTCCATATTTGGTAACTAGATTTAATTTCTTGCAATCTCAATTAGCATATAGTTTCTTTTTGTGCCTAGGTTTGCATTTGCATGTTTAATCTTTTGCCATACACACTAGGTATATCTTATGTAGGCTTGCTCGGTATCACTCTTACCCTTAGAGCAAACTTACATGATTTAAATTGCTTAGGAGTATGGCACAACCTGTTTTACAATTGTTTATCTAATAAATGCAAAGTTCAAATTGTAGATAATTTCTCCTGATTATCGCTTTTGAAAATGATTATCACAATCATGTGATATCATCTTTCAAGTGGTCTATTTGATTCTAAAATCAATATGCACGTCTTCTACAAGTATTTCATGTTTGTATGCACAAATTTAGAGGGAGGTTACTCTACAAGTTGGATGCTTTGAGACTAACACTATTTCAAGCTTACCATGTGTGTAGTAGTCTCATTGCAAGGTAAACGGAGTCCCCGGAGATAAGCATCATACTTCAAATATCCATCACCTATTTCAAGCGGTGTCAATCAAATTGATTTCTACATGTGATATTCCTAAACCAATATCATCATATTGATTTTTTTTTGCTCTTATATGTTTTCTTCATGCATTATATAGGTAAAACTCCCTTATACATTAATTTGTCAATTATGCATATACTTCACCTTCCACCATGTGTATGCATAAATTTAAGAGGAGCTTAGTGTATGTAATGTGAGAGTCAAGTTTTGTGATCTATTCCTCTCTACATATAAAGTATCACAAAATTTGATCATCTCTTGTGCTACTAATATCTTTCTTTTCGGTGTTTGATTCTAAAGGAGAAGAATTTATAGGATCAAAAGCAAAATCATAATAATTTATAAGTAGTAATGGTCCGAGAAAAAAAAATTGTGGATTATGGTTCTTGCGTAAAGAAAGCATACAACTTTCTGTTGTCAAAGCATGCAACGAAAATGGCCGGGCGGGGCATTCCGGATATTGAACTGAGCTGCAGCCACGGACACCGCCACCGTCAAAGACGACGGAAGCACGGCCGCATTGCAGGCTCCGCTGCGGTGACGTCGTGCCGGAGAGATCATCGGCGGTGGCTGAGGAAAGACTGGAACGGACTGTGAGAGGAAAAGAGAGAAAAGGAAAAGGAAAAAAAAAAGAAAAAGAGTAAAAGACTGAAGAGGAAAAAGAAAAAAAACTGTGAAGAGGGAAAAGAAAAAATGGTAACAAAAATTAAAAATTTATGTGTGGCTGCTGGGATTCGAGCCCAGGTCTCTACGGCCACAACGTAGAATTCTCACCACTAAACTACAGCCACATTGTTGTTTGTCATCAGATACTTTTATACTAGTATAAGAGATAAAAGAGAGTACGATGCGCGCTATTATCTGCCTCCATGTATGTTACAGTACTAGTGTCCGTACAGTATGCTGCCAAAATACCAGGCACAGGATCACTGAAGTTATGCTGCTGAGTGCTGAGATGACAGGCACATGATGTTACTAGTGTCCACGTGGGATCACTGAGTTAGTTTATGCTACCGATACCGAAATGACAGGCACAGGATCACTGAGGGCGCATTTAGATGCAAAATTTTTTAGGTTTAGGCTACTGTAGTACTTTCGTTTGTATTTGATAATTAGTGTCTAATTATTGATTAATTAGGTTCGAAAGTTTTGTCTCGCGATTTCTCACCCAACTGTGCAATTAGTTTTTTTTCGTCTATATTTAATACTTCATGTATGTGCCGCAAGATTTGATATGATGGGTACTACGTAAAAAATTTTGGAAACTAAACATGCCCTGAGTTATCTCAGGCACCTCCATGTGGCTCTTTTCTTTTGAAATAATATTATTTAAATAAATAATCGTAAAACTAGATACTGTTATGTAATAATTGTAAAAATAAATGTCTATCGGCTTCTTGGAAGCCGACTAAGCCGACTGTGATCTTATCGGCTATTGAGTCGCCTATATGAGCTCTTACCGGCACCCTGATTGCGCATTTGTGCTGCCATGTAGATCTAAGCATGGCCACGTTGAACTTTTTTGGGCCCACATATATATCGGCTGTCCCGTGGCCGATAAGCCTGAGGTGTTTGATATTGGGTAAAGATGTCTCCGTTGTCTAGTAGTTGCAAGGAGGCGACAAATACTACTTTTATATACTTTATTAATAATTTAATCATTTCATTTACTCCTACATATATACTTCCTCGGTTCCTATAATCCCATCCCATAAAAAGAATATTTATGTGATATATGCTAATCAAACTTTCTTAAATTTGACTAATTTGTACAAAATATTATCAATATTTATATCTTGAAGTATTTTTTATAAAAATATATTCAATGATTTATCTAGTGGTATTAATTACTCCATTCGTCCCAAAAATAAGTGCACGTCTCATATTTTAAGAAGTCAAACACTAGTTTGACCAAATATATATATAAAAATATTTATGATTGTGATACCAAATAAACATCATTAGTCAAATTTGATATTTGTTGACTCTTCAATGTGTTAGATGACCACCTGAAAATATCCTAACAAAATTTGGAAAATAAATAACGCGACATCCTTTTTAGAGTAAATACTCCATTCGTCCCAATAAGAATATCATTCTCACTTGAAGAGAAGTCAAATTTGTTCAACTTTAATCAAATATACTATATCTCTCAAAAAAGAATGCGACTATAGCTTGCGTGCCAGTTAAAATGGTTCATCTTTGATCAAATTTCTAGTAAATAATATTAGGAGTCGTGGACAAGAGAAGTCATTGCCAGCTCTTGTCTCTTTCAATCAAAATCAACAGTAGTCACTACTAGGCTTCACAGCCTAATCTCCGTGCTACATTAACCAATCGGCAATTAGGAGGCCGACTGAATCCCCCATCGGCAGTCCACATGCCGATTACCCCTATCGGCTTTTGGAGAGTTGGCTGGGCTTATTGGCTACGCTGCCGACACTCCTGTGAAAAGCTTACCATGTTCGCTTGATCGTATCAGCCATGCTTATCAGCCATGATATAGTATTTTTCTCTTACAACAAAACAGCATCAGCCGGCTTATAAGCCACAGAAACGATCAAGCGAACAGGGTATAAGCTTTTCACAGGAATATCAGCAGCGTAGCCAATAAGCCCAGTTAGCCAATAAGCCCAGTCAGCTCTCCAAAAGCCGATAGGGGTAATCGGCATGTGGACTGCCCATAGGATCCAGTAGGCCTCCTAATTGCCGATTGGTTTATGTCTTGTCTGACGTACATGCCAGGTAGGTTTATCGACATTTTTTTTTTGACTTAGGCTTATCGGCATTTGGGCCGCCAACAAGTATCTTAACGGCTTTCCTACTGCTGATAGCATGTTAGTTTTACAATTTCACAAAAACAGCATCTACTTTTACAATTATTTATTAATTAAAATAAGTTCAGAGGGATGGCCTCCGGTTCCACCGCTCCAATCTTGCCAAGATCAAGGCAAGGAGATAAGCAGATGAGAACAACATCCAGAACAAGTGGATGCTTCAGGCCTATCCAATCAAAACCACAACTCTTGTAAATAAATCCTCAGTGCAATATGTTTACGATAATTAGTAATTAATATCCATGCGTTGGTAATTGGAGCCATCACCCTCAGCCTACAAAGGACAATCAACAGAACTGTCCCGATGTTAACAGCCACGATGTCACAGCTTAACACTTTCAGAGTAACCAAAAAATAATAAAGAGAAAACAGTGTTGTTCACAGCAAAAATGATAATTGTGTTCCTGGATTCACTGAATCTCGTGATCTCACTTGTGAATTCACATGTTTTTCCAACTCTTTGAGCCATTGCTGAAGATACAACTCATCCTATGCTATGGTAGTAACACTAACATATCACTCTGCAAATGATTTCTGAAAGGTTTCTTGATGGTGAAAGTGAAATCATCCAGTCGATAAAATCGTCCAATTATGAACTGAGCTGTTAGGGGTTGCTTGGGTCAAACTAAACCCACATGAACAAACAACGCACAATAGTTTTGATGACTAAGGGTTGAGACCTCGGATGATGCAGCCAAAAAACCCCAAGAAATCAACCAATAATCTATAAGCCTGAGCCTCCAAGGTGGGAATGGACACAAAAAACCCAGATCATTATCATGCTGCATTAAGCGCAGTTGTATTTACATTTTCCACGACACAGAATCTGGTCATCTGACTTATTTCAATTGAGTTATAATGTTACATAGATCGTGGCATAAAGAACTACATCATAACCAGCTTCCTCGAGGGGCTTGTGGCACTTGTTGGACAGCAGCTAGAGGGTTCATCTGGACACAGAACGCAAGCTGAAGTGCATCAACGAATGCTCGTCGTAGAGAAGAAGCTTGCTGGAACACAGTCCTGTTCAGCAGATTCATACACAAAAAGTTCACTTTTGACTGTTAAAGCACGAAAACAGACAAGGTGCCTTGGATCATATTGTCAACTGAGAAGTTCTTACCTCTTCAAGCCAGCAGTTTTCCTTCGGAGCACGTACACGGCTGAGAACAGCAGCGTGAACAGAAACATTAACTTACCGCTTGGTAGAACAATATGTATTTTTCCAAACTTCAGGCGAATCGAATGAAACCACCAGAACAACGGATCAAATTGATTTGCAACATGCTGGGATGATTGAGCGGACTTCACTAGGACCTTTTTGACCCCATCGCACACAGGGGCTATCTTTGAAGCTAATCGTATTGCATGAAGCTTTTTTAGTAGGCCCTGTAGAAAAAAAAAAGAAACAGCTTGATGAAAAAGAATGCAACAGTAAAACTTACTGAGAAAAGCAAGAATAATGGGAATTCAGAAACAAGTGGTTTTGGAAATATAAGGAGTCCTAGTTTAGCATGAAAATCATTTGAAAATGAGAAAAAAACAAGCATACTGTAGTGGGAATTCATTCAGAAAAGAAATGGTTTTGGAAATATAAGGAGTCCTACTAGTTTAGCATAAAAATTATCTGGAAACCTACAAGATCCCAAGCTGGTATAGACCTAAGTTGGGTATAGACCTAAGTTGGCATAATGGAACATTTGGATTCAGTTTACTGTAAAAGAGTTATTAACCAATGTTTACAAGAAAAATACCTGTCGTCTTTGCTCAGTCAGATCAGCTTTTTCTGCCCATGAGATAGCAGTTTCACTATCTTGAGAGACAATACAGAGGAATGTTACTGTATACAATTCTGCCACCTGAAAATACTGCCCAGTTGACATAACAGATGTAACAACAAAACCATTTGAAGCGCTGTCATGCCCTCCATCCAAAACATAAACCTCATCATTTGTATATCTCCAATTGGCAAGGTATTCCTCAAAGATTGGTCTGAGGTCAGATACATATCCTGCTGCCATTTGAATGGTAGCTCTATGAGGAGAAATATAACGGTCATTGATACAGAAAAATGGACACATTACATATAATACTAAGTATATGAGACTTCTGAGTAGCAATTACCCTGTAAGGAAAACTCTAGCAGGTACTGATGGCACTGAACCAAACATCGTCTTAAGCTGAACAAACATCTCAGGGGTCCTGGAATATTTAGCATAGTGTGTTAGGATAAAAACATAGGCATGAGCTCTGCGTATGTTCAGCACAGGGAATCTCTACACTATGTAGGCACGTGATGCTTTCCATTTGGCAAATCTAGGCACTAATTTGATTATCAACAGTTTGTCTCATTACAGCACATAACAATATACCAAATTTGGTACTGGCAGGAAGTATAGGTACAAAAAATAAATAGGAATTGAGAAGGATTTACCTCCTGAGTTCTTTTAGTGCCTGCACAAGTACCATCCCAGCCGATTCAAGCATCTCCAGGAGCTCGTCCTGGTCGCATGCGCTCTCCAAAGAGGCCGTGCGTATTTGATCAGCGACGGATAAAGCAGCCAACATCGCCTGCTCGAACGATCCACTGACTAGATAGCTGAGACATGAGGATGATAACAGGGCAAGGAAACAGTTGACAATTCTTCTTGTTTTTCAGATAAAACATGACCTTGCAAATTGAGGTATTCAGGTATGCAATGAAAAGCACTGTAAATAATGGCAAGCACTCTGCAGCTCCGTCGATCATCAGCAGGCAGGAACGAAGATGTTCTAAAAATTCGGCAATCATAGCAACCATATCAAACAATGAGACTATGCTTCCGTGCTTTCCCTCCTCTCTTTTTTTTTGTGAATGTTTTCCCTCCTCTTGCAGTTCTAAACTGAATGAAGCAAGATGCCCATAACAGATTTCTACTCAGGACAACGTAATTCGATTACAAAACCAGTACTCATCAATTAGTAATAAGCAAGGCCAGTAAACTAGCTACCCTAAGAGACGACACGGATAGAAAACATAGTGGGCAGGAGTAAGTAAAGGACGGAGCAGAAGGGAAGAGGGATCTTACTACTCGGCGTCGTCGATTTGCTTCCAGATAGGCGATTCCTGGGCAGAGGTCCCCATGGTTCCAGAGAGCAGGGGAGCGAACCTGTCGTGGTTCATTCAGGTTGAGAATTGAAGTTCGTAGGCGTGCATAATACATGTATTATCTTTGCAATCACAACAGATCCGAATACAAATAGCCAAATATCTTAAGTTAGGGTTTGGGGTGCTCGGTCTCGAGCAGGAAAGAGAAGGGGTGGGCATACCTGGGGTGCTCGTCGCCCCCGAAGACCTGGGCGGCCCAGTCGCGAGCGCGTGCGGCGAGAAGGAGAGGCCACGAGAGTGAGGCAGGGCCGCAGGGGTGGGTGATTGGGGGAACGGACAACGGAGCGGGAGTAGAAAAGGTCGCAGGGGTGAAGGGAGGACGATTGTAATTGACGACTATTTTATTTATTATTTATTAAAATCATTTACGGTCCTTAGATTCAAGTTCTTTTATTTTAAAATTCTATTTTTCAAATTATTCAAATAAACACGAATGAAGGAATTACTAAAACTACAGTTGTAGATTTTAAAAAGATAGATTATAAGTTTTAAAAAATTGTACCAATTTCATATTTTCTAAATTAAAAAAGAAATATGTATAAATTATAGTGATTTACCTATTATATTATTATTTTTAGAAAATACATACATAATCAAAACCACCTTTGAAACCAAAACTATTCTTTTCCTTATTTCACAACCACGACATTCATGCTTTCTTTATTTGACACAAAAACATTCATGCTTTACTTATTTAACACTACAAATCATAGTATGATATATTTTATCAAAAAAATCATAGTTCTGACATAGAGGGGCATATGGGTCATTTTGGTGGCTACTTAACACCACTAATGAAGGAAATGGATGCTAGTGCCACATAACGAAGAAAATTTCAACTCAATGCTAGATAAAGGACTTTGATTTTTGAGAGTGCCTTAGAAGAAATAATGATTTTTTTAGTGGCCAATAGATAATTCTCTCTTGTATATATATACCGTGTTTTTCTAGGGCCTTGGGAGTTTTGTTTCTGATCCTAGTGCTCAACTTCTCTTTGTAAAGTTTGTTTATTACTTTCTAATAATGTCTTCTTTCTCTATAAAATAATTCCTCTGTTTCAAAATTAGAATTTATTTTGACTTTTACATACATAGAGTCTGATTAGATGCATGTATTAGCCTTAGTTTGCATTAAATTTTATGCAGCATAACCTAAGTGTAAACATATGCAATGCCTTCATGTTTGGTTGCTCTACATAGACAAGTCGGGTCCGACAAAATTGTGGTTGTTTGTTTACTTTTTATTTCTCCTTATATGTTTTATTAAGGGTCTCATGTTTCTAGTAAAGGTCGAGAATGTAAAAATATTTTATTTTTGTGCGCACATCGACTTATACAAATTTATAATGTCTAATACGAAAAAATCTTGTGTACTGCCTAATGTTGCATTTGCCTACTCTGAGCATCGTGCAAACCCACGTAAGAGCCTCTGCAACTAAACATAGGTAAATTGCATTTCACCAGCCTGGATACAAACTAATGCAGTTAACCAATCAAACCCATAGTGTATATCTAGGTGTATATATAAAAACTATGCATCTAGGAACAACTCCTATAGACTTTCTATATCATTCATAATTGTTAGAAATAGAGAATTTGATGAAAAAAATTACTCCAACAACTTCTCTAATTGGATATCTAAATATAGCCATCCTATATTTCGGATTTATGGCTAGCCAAAGATGGACAACGAGGTTAACTCTCTACTCTCTATAGTGCGCACAAGATATAAAAAAGCTATTCCAAGGCTCTCCAAATGTTGATTTACATGATGAATTTAAAAAAGACTCTTAGATATGCTTAAAAAAGCTAAAACCACCCTTCACTGCTCTTGGACCGTCACGTGCACACTCCTCGCTAGACCTTCTTTATTGTCGTCGACCATGTCACGCTACACCTGCACATCACAAAGCCAAGAGACATGCATGTTGTACACACAACTCTCGCATACCACAGTTAGTCTCCCACACACTTAACCAAAGCTCGTATCACCTCAATAACAAACACTCGTCATTCATACATGGGCATATATCAACCACGTATTTGCAGCTTGTATTCAAGTGAGCATAGAGAAAAGACACGGGACGGATAGGAAAGAAGGTCCTTGTTTTTTCCAATGTAGTATTACAAAAAAATCTTAGACTATCTCTATTTGAATAGGTGAGGATCTCCAGGCTGAAATCTGCTTCTTTATCAGATTTATCTCCTTGTGAGTCCGTGGATATACAGTTGAAGGAAGAAACTCACAACGCAAACATGGATGACTTTCACGGAGCGATACAACTTCCAGATTCATCGCTGCTTCCATGACACGCCTTATGTATCTTGTGAACTTTGCTTCAACTTGAAATCCCTCGATAGTGAGCTTTTTCATATTATAATGCTTGAAATCATGATGTGTCTCCCATTTTAATAAATCAGCTGCCCTATCAAAGTTTTCTCGTGTATTCTCATCCGTTTGATTCTCTTCGTCTGAGTAACATATATGGTATGATATCTGCAAAAGATTCAAAAGTTAACACTGATTCTTATGACATGTTTATTGGTCCTGCAAATTAGCATGAGGACTACTTAGTAGCCACAAAAAAATGTCACATAGGAAAAATGAAAACAACTTACATCCGGTTCCTATATTCACCGTGTCTGTATCAAAAACCTTACATTTGTTTTTATAATAACACATCAACACATTTTTATATAGGGATCCTATTCTCATTTCTCTACTATAAAAATGCAAATAAATACCTAGGATGAATTAAATAAATTAAATTAAATATGAAAAACATACCTGTATGTTAAGTGTATGTAAGAGGGGTGCGGCTTCTAAGATGAACAATGTCCACATTAGGTCATACCCTTCATGAATAAACCGGACTGTAACAACCCTCAAATTCTGCAGCAGAGGAGTAAGTCGTTTTGGACCTTCAGGTTGAATCCAAATCTACACCAAATAAATATAGCAGAGACAATTATTATCAGTAAAACAATATTCTGAAGCATATATAAGCATGTTTCCAACAATTAAAATTTATTTCACTATTATCACTCACCTTTTTGCATAGGAAATTCAGATCAAGTTCAGCAACAGCAGTATTACCAAGGAACTCAGTTAGCTTAACATACTACCGGGAACGCGAGCTTTGTCGTGTGCCTAGGGCACACGGCAAAGCCACGAATACACCTGGCAAACCCTTTGCCGAGTGTAACACTCGGTAAATGGCACTCGACAAAAAATTCATCGGCAAACTCACTTTGCCGAGTGTTTTTCGTCGGGCACTCGGCAAAGACGTTGCCGAGTAAAAAAAAAAACTTGGCAAACATTTTTTTATTTTTTTTCTTCTCCTTCTTTCCTAGAAAGAATATTTTTTTCCTTTGTCGAGTGTCCTAGATCTGGGCACTCGGTAAAGTTTTTATTTTTTATTTTTTTTCTTCTCCTTCTTTCCCAGAAAAAAGATTTTCTTTCTTTGCCGAGTGTTTTGGATCTAGGCACTTTGGCAAAGTTTTTTTTTCATTTTTTTTCTTCTCCTTCTTTCCTAGAAAAAAGATTTTACTTCTTTGTCGAGTATAAAAAAAAACACCCGGCAAACCTTCTCTTTATCGAGTGTTTTTTTTTTCCGAGTATTTTTAGCGCAGCACTTGGCAAAGATCTTGTTTGCCGAGTATCCGAGAGAATACACTCGGCAAACATAAAAACACTCGGCAAATTTGACATTTCCGGTAGTGATAGTTTTGTACTGAGCCGTGCAAGCATTACTTAGAGTTAGCACGCGAAGCTGTGGAACATAGCCGATTGACAGTGGATACTGATCCTGTGAAGGCATCCAATTTCGACATGTCAAGCGTGTGAGCCTTGGAAGCCACTTGAGCTCAACAGTCCCAAATCCGCAAAAAATAACCACCAACTCAACAAGTCGCGAATGCTCTATTTGTAACACAGACGACTGATCGTCGCCAATCCCTGCGTCGCAGTTGACAAGGCTAAAGTACTCCAGCTTCTCGCATGCGCTAAGCACATTAGCGATGTCGGATTCGCCAAGCCTTAGAGCATGTAAGTTCAGGTCCTTGAGACCGGTAAATGCACGGGGGTACGCATCAAAGAACGTCATGAAGCGCCTCCCGTAGGCGAGCAGAACATCGTCGTCTTCGCAGTAGACGTCCGGAACGTCCGGGATGACCGTGAACTTGGCCGCGAGGATCCTGTGGTCTGCCATGGCTCTGTCCACGGCGCGAACAATGCCGATGGATTCGTCCCTGAGATAGAATGTGATGTCAAGGAGCTGGATGGTGGTGTGCTGGCGGCGGTGCTGCCGCAGGAGGATCTCTGTGGCTTCGACCACGGAAGCGTTAGTCCGCAACAGGTCGTCCGTTGTGCACTCCAAATCGTCGTCGTCCTGATGCGTAGCGTCGAAGTTCAGAACGTCCAGAACGATCTCGGAACGGAGCCCTAGCAAATGCCTCCAGCGCTTTGAGAGGACGGTGGTCCTTGCAGCGTCACGTATCAGGTCGAGCTTATTCAGGATCAGGAGGAGGATGTCGTCTGGAAGGGTGCTGAGCCTGTCATCGTCGCCCTCCTGTTCGTGCTCCTGTAATTAGGAGTATATAATAATGTAATGTTAGATTTGACGTGAATAACCATATATACACACAGGCAGACACAGCAGGGAGAATAAATGAAATATACCGGGGTCGTAGTTTCCGCCATCTCTTCAGTTGTCGATCGAATTTGAATCACGTTTTCGACAAGGTTCCTCCTGTGATTTGCGTTCTTGGTTCCTCCTCCCAACGCGCGGTAGGGTCCTCGTGGTTCCTCCTGATTCGTTCCCTTCAATGTATCCTACTCGGAGATCAGAACAGCCCACGATTCATTTAAAAAAAAAAACAGCCAACGATGAGCCAGAGCGCAACGGCCCATCTCGAGCGCAGGATCAGAACAGCCCACGATTCGTTTCCCAAAAAATAAGAAAAAAAAGGCAACGATGAGCCAGAGCGCAACAGCCCATCTCGAGCGGCGGTACAACGGGTACAGGTAAAACACAGTTTCATTGATTTACCGGACCCTCTTCTCCTGCTAAAAAAACCGAACCGGGCAACGAATTACAAGTTCCAGCGCCTATCTATCTTTACTTTACTTTTTTTTTGTTATTGTTGCTAGCAAACATATCCATGTGTTATAATAGAACGTTTAGCTTGTTGCATGGCTACTTGAAGAATTTGCGATTTGAGATTTATTCATTGATCATGTCATGGGTTTCTGTTAGTCTTGCAATCAAACTGCGCACCAGACCTGGCCCGTGCTGCTCTAATTATATGGTTATTATGAGAGGTTTGGAGATATTTTTTATTAATGATCGTGTTATGTTTAGATTAAACTCTACCACTATGTTTGAACACTCTGCTCCAACATGTATAGGTACGTGAGAGAGTAATGGACCATGTAAACGCTTAGCATTCTTATTCATTTTGGAATTGACTCAACGTCGTGCTTCAACAGGTCACTCTAACTCGTACATGCACGAGAAAGAATTAGGTTCATCCAATCTTTACCCAAAGCGGCAAAAAACGGAGAAACATTTCGTCCTACAATATTAGGAATGTAGATAGATTAGTACCGCTTATTGAGATTCTAATTTTATCCCACAAATATGTATATGTAAATATGTAATTAGACAGTCTCAAAACACAATTTCAATGCATAGTTACCAAGACTGCCACACTGACTTTACAAGTGAATGAAACAGTACAGTTTCATAGGCTAGCTACATCATTTAATTGTTATATGATGCTATGATCAAATTTCACATATGAAATGTATAGCCTTGCAATTGGGTCTAATTCTTTGCTTATCTGACGCAGAAGATCCTCGTGAGCACATGAGAATGAAACAAATCTGTCTCAGTGGAGATTTCATTGCCTTTCATTGCGTAGGTAAATGCGATGGATGAGTTTCATTCATCCTCATGAAACTCTATTTCTCTCGTGAAAAAGGGCCTCTATCCTAGTGGTTAGAGCACCTAAGTAGCATCCAACGGACCTAGGTTCGACTCCCCGTGGGAACAAATTAAACAGGTCTAAAATAAAATATTATAAAAAATAGGTTGGGGATTCCCTTTCTGACTTCGGTAAAAAAAACTCTATTTCTCTCTTTACTCATAAAAATATCATGCCAACCAAGCAAATTAATTTGTTGACATGTCATAGATTTAAATGAGAACAAAACTCATATAAAACTTTCGTTGAGGCCGTCTTATAGAATTTAAACAATTATTAGAGGCCGTATACATTAAATTAACCCATCTCTTCGGACCACATATATAACACGTGACTCATTCATTTTAGATTACAAGTCGTTCTCGTGTCTTTAGATACATAGTTTCATATACATATCTAGATATGACGTATATCTAAATACATAAAAAAGTAATATATCTAAAAAAGCTAAACGACCTATGATTTGGAACTGAACATCTCCAAGAGACTCTCCATATCTTTTCTAAAACCTAGAAAGTGTGTATATAAAAATTTGGGGACCAAAAATTAAACACAAATGATAGCCATGTCTCTCCAATGGACTAGCAAATTACTACCATGGTCATAAATATTTGGTACTTTAACCAAAATCCAATCAAATTTTTGAAAGTTTGGTCATCAACAGCTTTTAAAATGTTCAGTTCGATAACATAAAAATCATATGTATATATCTGACCTGAGAGTACTTTTGTAATGTAACACCTCGGTGTTAAGCATGCATTAACATTCCATCTTATGAGCATAATCATCATTTCATTATGCATAAGCATCATTTATGCATTTCATTTCGAAAGAAATGACATATCATTTCATGTGATATTTAAATTGATTGAAATTCATCATGTTTAAACTAGTGGGAATGCCATGCTCATGTTTGGATGCCATGATTTCTTGGGTTGATCACTAAGATAGCTTATAAACAATCAGGATACAATTTGGAGCCAAGTTTATATTTAAATTCTTGCCAAATTTTGCTTTTAAACTAATTCTTCAAAACTAGGGTTTTTGAATTTTATTTGACTTTAAATCTGTAGTTCAAAATATATTTGGAATTTGACTTTGGTCATAAAAGCAAAGTTGTAGAGAATAAAATTTTGAGCAACTTTTATTTTTGGGCCAAAGTTTGAAACTGCTCTGAATTAGTTCAAAATTTCGTTTGAATGAAAAAGGAATTTCAAATAATTTGTAAAATCCCGTTTTTACCTTATTGGGCCGCCGCCTCCTTTCCGGCCCAGCCCTGTAAGCCGGCCCGGCCTGCCCCGCGCCTCGCCCGCTCGCCAGTGCGCCGCGCCCGACCGGCGTCAGGCCGCAGCCGCCGCGTGGCCGCCGAACGCCGGCGACGGCGTACGGGTGGCACCCCGGTGGGCCCGGCTACGCCACGCGCTCGCCTTCACCTGCCGACCCCGCTGCGCTCCTCCTCACTCTGCCAGTTCGCTCTCTCCTCCGCCAACGCAAGCAGTAGCCACAGCGCTCGCTCCGCCGCGCGCCATCGCCGGCGTAGCCGTTCTGGCCTCCCAGTTCACCTGAGCTCGCTCCATCTCGCCCTGAACACCGCCTCCTCCTCGCGCGCCTCGTGCTCACCTCGGTAAGCCATGGGAAGCTCCCCTTCCCTGGGAATCCCTTGCCAGAGTCGTGGCCGAGCTCACCGGAGCACTCCGCTCCGTGGACCTTGCCCCTCCGTACTCCCTCTCACTATCGTTTCACGTGCACGAGCACTGCCCGAGCTCGGTGAAGCTCCCACGCCACTTCTCACGCCCCCTCTCGGCCAGAGATGGCCGGCCGACGGTGAGCCGCACCACCGCGCCGCCATGGCCGCTGGCCAGCTCGCTCTCGAGCTCCTCTAGCCCTGCCACTTGCACTACCGTGTCCACCTTGGCAAGGTGGTCACGTTGGTGGTGACCTCGTCGCCGGTCACCTCACCGACGGCGAGCTCCCACCGGACAGCGCGGCCTCCTCTGCCTCAGGGGCTGACGGGTGGGGTCCCGTGACCCCCGGGCCCGTTGTCAGTCTCTGTGTGTGTACATGCGTGTTCAAATCCGGGTGCACCCAGCGTTTTCTTCGGCTGGTTTTTTTAAAAGGATTTCTAAAATGATTTCAAAAATGGATTAAAAAGCTTGTAAAATGTAGATCTCGAGTTACATGGCTCCAAATTTGTTGAAATAAATTTTGTTGTGTTCCTTGTCATCAGATCTACATGATAAAAATATTGCATGTCATTTTTGAGCTACTTTAATGTAGAGCTTTATTTAATTCTTGATATTGCTGATATCTTGTGAAATGCGTAGTAAATTCTATATGTATCAGAAAAATATGATTCTAAATTTGTTAGTCTATTCTTGAGATGTACTTTCAGTGAAAAATATATGTCATGCAGGTTATGTGGAAAAATATGGCTAGGTAGGTTATGTGTATTAATTGCTGATTTCTTGTAAAATTGCTAGGGCTAAAAATATGAATAATACATGTAGGTGAAACTTTTTGGACAGTAATTGTATGCTCTGTAGATCATGGGAAAAATACCAAATCTGTTGTTTGACACTTTTCGTAGTACAAAGTATTTTCATGCTCAATTGTCTACCATAGCTTGTCATTTTTGTGTAGGTTGTTATACTTATCTAAACGTAATGAAAATTTTATGGTAGTCTACTTAGAATAGTACTATGCTACTGTAATTTTCTCAGATTTTTATGAGCACCAGAGATATATGTTTCTGTTATAGCCCTAGTTTAACATGAAATAAACAAATCTCCTTTAACGCGTGATTAGTTAGTAATGTTGGCTTTGGTGTATCTTTGAAGCATCTTAGATTGATGTGGTGACTTGGCATGTTAGTTCCGTGGTTGCAGTAGTAGTATAGTAGTACATGTTCTTGGATGATGTTGGCTACCTTATAGAAGGGCTTTACTCTACTATGCCCGATACAGTTAAACATGGTCATCTACATTTCATGCATCATGATCATTACATGTCATCTCTCCGATGCACCTATGCATTAGCACTTATACATCTGCATCATATAGGATCGCAGGAGGAGTTGCTAGTAGCAGTTCAGGAAGAGCAGACTAGGACAAATCCACAAGAAGTCCAGGCACAGGAGGTGCCAGAGGAAGAGGAGCAAGGAGAGGACTTGCCGGAGTGCGTGGATCACCAGCCTAGTTCGTTCGAACGAGGCAAGCTCCGGAGCATTCTAAGTCTCCTACTTTATAAAAGCAATTCTTTATATATATGAGTTTATATATTGTTGCATTAAGTTATAGGAGTTGATTGAAACCGTTGATGCATTTATTACTATCCTTGCCTACCTTATTACCTTTTACCCTGTTAGGTCAGGATCGAATAACTGCTTAGCCTTGCTTAGATCGGTAGCAATCGATGATACCCGGTCACCTACATTATAGGTGGTTACTGGAAGAGATTGGCTATGGAAAGAATAATATCCTAGAATTAACCATATGTGATGGAGAATTGGAGACCGGACGGAATAGTTAGAGGCAACTAGACAGGGTTCTGGGGTGTTGTTAGTTTCCGTCTTTGTCGATTGAGGACCGATCGTTGGTCGTCCCTCTTGTCATGTTGAACGCATGCCTCACATTTAGCTGGCCGAATAAAGTACCTTTCGACCACGAAGCTAGTGGCACTATTCGGGCCGGGATCTACACGAGTGCGCGTATTGGT